AAAGGTACTGAGCAATACTTTCCTGTGGTACTGTTTATTATGCTGTACAAGGTAGTTTCTATCTTTGAATCTGTGGATAAAACCCTTTAGTGTCACCATTTAAATGAAAACTACCGAGCAGTACGTTTCTATCACGCTCAGCTGTACGGGGAAATCTTAACTTTTGAGTCTGTGGGCAAAATCTCAACCTCGTCTCCAGGGCTTTTCCCTTAAAAAATGGGTGGGACGGGAAAAGGCCCTGGCATCGGCTGGTCACGTGTCCCCTCGTACACCCTAAAATCCTGGGTGTAATAAATTATCGCTATGTGAAAAGCTAAAATTATGCGTAACCTCACAGCGCGCGATCTTGGGCGGCCTTTTATATCTCTTGACGATTAACGAAAAGTTTTACAAGATTTCCTTTTTGTCACAGACATTGGCTATGGTAATTTTTTGCTTTCCTCCGATTTCTGTGAAGGGGACAGCGACCGGCAACATTTGTAAAACTTCTGTTTATAGAGCGATATAAATGACAAACAAGCTATCGTACATGCATAAAGTTTGTACTGGAAAAGTCCGTTTTCGCGACTCTTTTGATATTTTATTTTATTTCTTGCGAAGTGGACCGCCATACACAACCTAGTTCTATTCACCTTAATTCTCAGCCATATCATAGCGACACACGTTGGTTTAGACTAATCTTGTATAATCTGTATTTTTAAAAAATTCATTGACCTCTGCGATCAAACGACTGGTAACAAAGAAAGACAGAGCTGTAGTTACAGTTGTAGTTGATTCCAATCGATCGGTCAATCTTCCCTTATATGAATATAAGGAAAATCCTTTGTACTTATCCTCGGAAGAGAAAAGATATAAGAGATCTTCAAATGTTTCAGATCGGCGACCTGTCATCGTTCCTGGCTGGAGGGCTGACTTGCATCCGGCGCGGAGATTTGTTTGTTTCATGGTCGGGTTGTAGAGAAGACCAGACTCCATAAAGCATTTTGATGAACAATTCTATTTCAATTAAGTTCAATTTGTTTAAATTCACTGCAGATCCTAGAGGCAAAGGCGCTCATTTTTGTTTGACATTGGACAAAATCACTTTCCGCTTGATCGTACAGTAATTCCACAGTGACGATGAATTTCAGTCGAAGTACTACTCGATAACAGCTTGTCTCAACTCTGAAGCATTTGACATATTTTGTACGTGACAACGTAGAGCCGGTACGCCCTTTCATAAACTTGTAGCATTTGAATAATACGCAATTAAATGGATCTTAAGCTCTTGAATCGCACACACGCGAAAATATTGACATACAGTTCGCGATATTATTGTTTTCTATGTTGCTCCGTTCGACTTCTGTCAGCGCAAAACCAGCGGATTGCATATAAATTAGCTTCTCAGGAATATTTAGGCTGTGCACGTGACCAGCCGATGCCAGGGCCTTTTCCTGTCCCACCCATTTTTTAAGGGAAAAGCCCTGGGGACGAGGTTGGGCAAAATCTCTTAATGTTACCATTCAAAGGAAACACTGCCAATGATGGTCACGGGTATGGTACACACACAAAATCGACGCACCGCAACGACACTAAACCCCTTGTTGACCCTTGGTAACTTGTGGGGAACTACAACCACACTTAATCTCAAAAGAACTCACAAGGGGGTGGGTGGGGTGGGGTCGGGTCGGGGGGAGGGGCTGTAACCATACAGAGCTACGAAGAGAAACGTTGCGAGCTGGGCCATTTACGAGGTTCATCAGGGCTGGTTTAGAGGTTCGATGCAGATTTTTAACGTAGGCAGACACAAAAGCATATCTGTTAATAGAGACTTTTCTTAGGGCCTGTTTACATGGAGTGGGGGACCCCGGTCTAGTGGGGTTGGTTTCTTTTGTTTTCACGCTCTAGGGAACACAAAACAAAAGAAACCAACCCCACTAGACCGGGTTCCCCCACTCCATGTAAACAGGGTCTTAAGCTGCGCTAAAAAAGGACAAACAATCAGGATGCCAATGCCTTGTACGATTTTTGCACTTATGCCTCCACTGTAGTGTATGCAAGCCTTGTGCAGGGCTACCGCGAGAACCAGCAACGCCAAAAGGTTCCTTTGTAGTATTTTGCTGCGGTTTTAAACCCAATTGGAACTTCACTGGCCAGGCATACGGTCATTCACGGATCGCTTGAACATGAACCCTATCCCATCCCCGCCCGTGTGCTAACGTCACTGACCAAGGCTCAAGAACTGGGACATGTCACTTACACGTTTGATCGTACCATTGTGAGGTCCGCAACTTTTCAAAGACCTATTCGGGATGAGGCAAAATAAGGTTCGAAAGTTTCATCCAAGCATCTTTCGAAATAAAATATCAAGTCACGAAAGAGTCACAAAGAACAAAATAAAGGAACAACAGACCTGACAATACAACAACACACTAAAGAGCAAAAATGAGAAAAGAGTAGACTAATAGTAGAGAGTCTGATAGGTTAAAGTGGAGCAGAGGTGAGCTGAGGAGAGGACAGGAGCGTAAAGGAAAGCGGAGTAGGGTGGGGTAGATTGGTGGAGTAAAATAGAATAGGATACAAAACGCTACACAAAAGACACAGACTTGGTGTTCGAGTAAACTACCCTATGCAATTTTGAAAATGTAAATTTGGTAGACGAATCTCGTCCTTACCTGTGACCTTGACACAAACTAGCGGTTCAGTGCCTCAATAGAAATTGCACTTTTCGGACCTCTTCACGGCCTATCTTCGTTTAACTTCTACGGCGCAAGCCAAATTTTCTTCACCCGCCTTGCTAATTATCAGACAATATTCTTCTTGGCTTCATTCTTCCTTAACTTCGCATTCACGAGATTTCTTGCATTAAACCCTTCATTTTAGTGCCAAGACTTGGCTTCTTCACTTTTCTTTCAATCAATCTTCACTTCCCCCCGATCTCACACGTTTTCGCTTCAATCTTCAATTTTCTTTTTTTCTTGCCAAACTTCAAAATTAGGTCTTCTCAACCTTAGCTTTCGATTCTTCGCACGATCCGTTATCTTCATTTTCTTCAAATTAATCTTCACTCCCCTTCATTCTTTTTCGAACTTCGATCTATCTTCGTTCTTGCGCTACTTGCGTAATTTCGCGACCAAATGTGGTTCTTCGCTCTTTCTTTCAAATCTTCATATTTCATTTTCTTCATGTTTCTGCCCTGTGGCAAAATAAATTCAAGTTAACATCGACAAACACGCCAAACGTTGACCTTTATTCCATTATAAAATTAAAATCAAATAAAACATTTGCATTAGCTAACATTGCTTGCCCCTCAGCAATTGAACAAAGTCGAACCTCTACTTAAAGAAACAATGAACTGTCCATAACACAGAGAAGTTCATATCAAGAGGGCCCGGTGAATCCCCAGGTGGGGACCGGGATCATTGCCTGACACCGGCCAGAGCGGCTGCGAAGGAAATCAGCTGAATCCAACAAAATCCATGCTAATATCTTTGCTTTCACATATCAGCTAATCCAAAGTATCAGTAGATTAACATGATAAGAACAAACAAATAAAGTTTTGATTTAGTAACTCGTTAGTTACAGTTCCTCTCAGCACAAACAAAAAAACACGAAACCACAACTATTAAAAAAGTGCCGCACTTTAAAGACTCGATACGCAGGTGCTTGAATCTGTTACGAGTGCTTTTGTCAAACTCGAGTTTCTCCACTTACTGAGTGAATATCCGAACTTAGTTCTCTTTGCATAAATGTAAAGATGAAATATAGCATCTTTTACAAGTATATCTACTCTAGTTTTGATCCTGCTAAATCGTTTCCAGCAACAAACTACTCGATCACAGTGTAACTTAGGGCACTGTGCAGACTTTTTAAAAATAATCAATCAATTCTCATCTCAAGTGAAGTCGAGGGTGTTTTAACTATCTGACTATATTACACCTGTTATAAGGCTAGTGCTGAAGTGATGGCCTACAGGATTATGATACATGTTGTTCAAAAACTGCTGCCAAATATGCCACAAGCATCAGTAGCGGCCTGCAAAAGGTTGAAACGATACATGTTAGAAAATAAAACAAACAAACAAATAAATCACTTTAGATGATTACTCTGGGGACACCACCGCGTCAAACAAATGTAATTGCAAGTATGGCTAATGTTTCAAACTCGGAAACAATAACTAAACTGTAAACTTGTCCGTCAATTACACTTGTAAAACTTGTGCAGTGGAACCTGGTTAACATGGACACCAAGGAGACATGCCACAATGTCTGTATAATCCGGGTGTCCTTATTAAGCGGGTGGTCTGAAAAAATGTCACAGACACATGTTTCATTGATAAGAAGACTAAAGCAGACATTTTTACTGAACTGTAGCACGTTCATTCTAAAGAAACCTCACGATCATTTATTATAGTCTCGTAATAAAATTACCTTTAAGTATCGTTCTTAAACACGACAAAGGCGTCCGACTTTACTTCGTACAACAACAGTCCTATTCAGGACTACGTTCACCCGGACGATCATACTCTACCTACTAACGAAATGACTCCTGGGTTCAAACCTTTCACAGTTTTACTTTGTATTTTTGTAGTAATGCTTTTAGTTAGCGACTCGGCTAGGTGGGCTGAATATTTGACAGAACCTTTGAAAGGTGATTCGCCGTTTCTGCTAGGTTTTTACTGTTAAGAAGTTCGGTCATAGTGCGCAGATAAAAAAAAGTCTCTGTAAAGTGGAGTAGATGATATATGAAAGTTTGTGACTCAGGACACAGGAATGGTCCGTTCTCAATATTAATAAAATTCCTATAATTTTACAGAAAATATATGAGCTTTTCATATGGACAAGCGAAACTGTTGATTCTAAACTGATGTCTGAAGAGTGAGAGTTCCACTGTATTCAACTGACCCCTGTTGTTGCAAAGTGTAATCTTTCAGGAGGCAGCTAGTTTTTTTTTCTGAAAATCTAAAATTGTTTATGTTTTACAGAGGAACTCAGGAAAACCCAAACAATCAATTATTTCGCTCACATCAGGAAGGAAAAAAATAAATTCATAATCATATTATTATTGCTGTATAATATCCACTTACGTGGGGAGTAGGATCTGGAGCGAGAGCGATAACCATATCCACTACCATAGTAGTCACGATGTCGATCCTTGGCATAATACTCTTTATCACGACTGTAGTCATCATAGTAACTCTTACGATAGTTTCTGTGCCTTAGAAGCAAAAGTCAAGGAATGAGCAACAGAGGAAGTTGTAAGGCCTGGTTCAGACGCAGAACTTTTCATGAGCCCAACCTAATACATTCAATTAAGTACATGCTGATTTCATTATCCCTGACACTTTTTTCTGTATTATTACTGATTTTGACTTTATCTTGGTCCATAAAATTACAAAATAGAACTTAGCCTCTTCCCAGCCAATTTTTCCTCACCCTTAGCTCAATATGAATAGAGGCTAGCAAGTGACACTCACTGTGTAGGTTTTCCCATATAGACCCCAGGAGTAGGTGTGTGAGCCCGTTTGGTGATGGAGTAATCCACTCGTATACGCCGACCATCAATTTCTAAACCATTAGTGCTTGCTTTAGCCTAAAAGACAATAATAATAAATGTTAATACTCCCATCAATATTTATTTCTTGTTAAATTAAGAGTAAAAGGTAAAGGTTTAAGGTAAAGCAACAATATTTTACATCAATATCTCATGACAGTAATTCAACTGATAAACTTGAGATCGACAGTGGGCTCATTTTACCCCCCTCTCTACATCAATGCTCCATTTTAAGGTCGGAACACACCAGGTGACAAGTTGACACAACAAGTCGCGGCGACAGATCACTCCATGTGTACAGGACGGGCGACAAGTTGCTGCAACACATTGTGGCAACACATCGCAGTGACAAATCACTTTGTGTACTGGAGAATTTTTGTGAAAATCTATGTCTCTGCAACAGAATTGTGTCGCCGCAACAAGTCACAAAAATTTTGTCTGATTTGATTTTCTGCGACATGTTGCTGCCACAAACTTCTGTTGCCGAGACAAAGATTTTCACAAAAATTCTCCAGTACACACAAAGCAATTTGTCGCTGTGATGTGTTGTTGTGACATGTTGCTGCAACTTGTCGCCAAGTGTGCACCCGACCTTTAAGGGTATTTAAAGCAGTTAAAGCTACACAGAAAGGAGAGAAGTTGAAACAAGGAAGTAACGTCAACGGGGATTGAACTCGGGACCTCGCATACCGAAGGACGCGCACTAGCCAACTGGGCCATTCTTGCTCCTGCTTGCAACAGTTTTACCACCCATGGTTTATGCAGACCTTAGACCTTTTTTCCAAGGAGTTTTTAAGGACAAAATCCACTTCTGAATTGTCCTGTATAAGAATTAAAGTTATCTGGTGCATTGTGTTTGACAAACTTAACAAGTAAAAGGACATTTAATGAGGGAAAAGAGGGCAAATTACTTAAGAATTATTATTGTAATGCTAAAATTAACAATATCTGAGAAATGACTAATCATTTTTGACCCAATTTGTACTCATGTACAGCCTTAAAGTAAAGGATTCTTTTCAATCCTACAGTGATGTGCACAATATATAAAATACACTTGCGCAGCAAATTACCAACCTCTCTAGCATCTTCAACTGCTTCATAATACACAAATCCAAATCCTCTTGAGCGGCCACTCTACAAGATTCAACGTATTACAAACAAAACGATGATGTGAATGAGAACAAAACAACAGATCATTTTAGGTTTCTGGGAAACAGCCCACCTACCCCTTCCCCAAGCCATCATTTTGCCCAAAGTGAGAAGTAAGTGTTAATGCTAGCTTAGGGGAGGGGTAGGTGGGCTGTTTCCCAGAAACCTAAATTGATCCAAAACAACTTCCACCACTGTCCTTAATCACACCTTTAGAAATGCTTATTTATTAAACCATTATCGCACATACGAGTACAGTCATCTGAGTCATTCTTTATGAGTCACTGAAGATAACTGAATACTGGCCAGGGTTCTCAATAAGAGCCCACAGCTGGTGAAATTCGCTGGCTATTTCACGTGAACTCGCGGCCTACTTTTCTTTGGAAATTACCCACAAAAAAGTCAAAGTTTAACAATGTCTGTGTTTTGTTCGAACACTCTAATTTTTGCTCCAGAATGCTAGAAATGCATTCTAAGAGGCCCAGATTTCAAATTTTTTCCAGGGTCGGGCATGCCCCCTGACGGAAGCCCTAGTAACTTGCCCTTTCAGCACTTTTAAGTCGAGCCATGAGTTTTTTCCATCTCCGCCTACTCCAAAGCTTTTGCCACCTACTTAAAACCTTATTGAAAACCCTGTAATGATACTAACAAACTCCAGGTGTCCACTTCAGGGTGTTATATCATAGGCTGGGTGGGTTACAGTAAGCACATAAATGGACTGATAGTGGCTGCCCATGTATGCTGACATCTGAGCTTAGTGTTACCATGTAAACATGTCTGTTGCCCTCTCATCCAGGAGATTTCATTCATTCATTACAGGTGTTCATTAAAAGAGAACTAGTTAACTGTAATTTTTTGTCTTGTGATCAGTAGCACATGTAGGTAAACCCATTTGTATCAGTGTATTTTAGCCTTATAATGGATTATAAAGTATCACTGATATATCATGAGCAAAATAAATTTCTTACCTGACGATCATACACTATTTGAATTGACTCGACACTACCATACTTCTCAAAGTATTGTCTTAAATCTCTTTCAGTGGTGTACAGACTTAATCCAAAAATTCCCAAGCAATTACTGCTTTCGGGGTTGTCCTGCAGGTAGAAAATATATTACAATTAAAGTTATATTTACATCAAGGCAAAAAAATGGAGAAACATACAACAAGACAGGACAAGCAAGCATTACCCTGCTTCCAACATGCCGTTTTCTGGAGGAAAGTGGAGACACACTGCGGGATCTATGGAGAAAAAAAAAAACATTCACATGTGTTGTTGAGTAGATGTTAAACTGAAAAACCTTGACAGCAATGCAGTGGAACGTTCCCTGTTATTACGGTCACCAATGGGCCAAAAAAATTTGGCCATATTAACAGGTGACCGTATTAATGAGGGTTTTTTTTACAAGAAAATGTATGGCTGTTTTGTTCATGCTGATCACTCTTAGGTTTTAAAGGGTTAACACATGACCTCCTCGACAATAGCTAGAAGCTCTATTCACTAGGCTTCAGGGATAATGAAAATCACTCATTAAGCAATACATTGTAGTTCATATGTACATGGCCTGAATATCTGCTGGGATGAACAACTGTATGGTAATAAATAGACAAAACATTTCTTAAGCGATAGCTTATGGGGGATGTGAGCTGACTGAGAAAAAAAGTCTTTTTTCTCTTTCTGAAATTGGATGAAGTCCCAAAGAACACCCCACAACTTGAGCACTTTAGAATTATCAACAATTTGGAAAGAATGCCAAAATTTCACTACCATTGATATGGTTGTTGCATTAACTCCCTATCATTACAACTATAAATAAACTGAATCTTTTTTTATAGCTACCTTCTATGCCTGTAGTGATATGGACTACGAGACCGCGATCGGGATCGTGAGTAAGATCTTTTCCTTTTCTTAGAACGGGAACGTGACCTACTACGAGATGGGGAACGATGCTTGCGTGAACGGCTCCGACTTCTTGACCTTGATCTGCCCCTTGAGCCTGACCGTGAGCGAGAACGGGATCGTGAACGGGATCTTGAGCGAGATCTAGAATGTGACCTGGAACGGGACTTTGAACGAGACCGTGAGCGGGAAGCTGATCTTGATCCTGCACCATTGTATTCTTCACCTTGGTCATTGTCATCTCTGTCACTCACTTCCTGTAAATTGCGAATAAGATAATAATTAGTGATTGCTATGCAAGCATCAGTAAACTCATGACAATGATTTGTATGGAGTGCGAATGCAATATATTGGAATTTGTTGCCCCGGAAAATTACTTTGAGAACAAAACTAACATTACAACTAAATACGGCCGAACATCTGGAAACTTAAATATTCATCATTGCCACTACATTATAATATCGAATTTGCTTCTATCACTGGTGGACAGCAAAAACTATACAGTTGTTTAAGTATAGCAACAAAAATAGATAGGTAGAGTGAAACCCCACCTTACGGCCACCTCGTTATTACGGTCACTTTTTTTGGCTGCCCAGCAAAATAGCCATAGATTTTCTTGTTAAAAAACCCTTGTTAATATGGTCACCCGTTAATACGACCCAATTTTTTTGGGCCCATTGGTGACCATATTAATGGGGTTCCACTGTACATACTTTATTGAAGCTTTTAGGTTACAGCTCTGGAGCTGACTTGGGTAAAACTTTACAAATGAATACAAATAATAAATCAAAACCTAGCTTTCAGCCATGTGCAAGCGAAATTTATCCAGAGCATGTACTAAGGAATCTTGTATTCTGTTTTAAGCCTACCTTAGATTATTAGTATTTGGTATTTTACTGATAAGTTGTAATCTGGAACTTGATTAAAGTGACAAGCTAAAGTTAACTTGGCAGACATCAGTTCAGCTAAATTAAGGTATGATCTGAAGTGCTTTACTAATGAAGTTCCTCTCATTCAACAACTTACTCTTCAAAATATAAATCGGAAATACTAAGAGGAACCGAAGATCCCCTCATTCGATTGTTTTTTTTTCAAAATGAATAAGCTAAGATTGCAAAGCGTGCGTTTAACGAATTGGACAACGGAAGAGTAGTATTACTTACCGTTTAAGGCTTTTAAAAGAGCAGTATATTTTCCCTACCTTTTCCTCAGAAGCATCCCTGTCGTCAGCATCGCTCATTTTGGCAAAATAATACCAAAAAACACGAGGGTCGTTGTTATTTTCACTGCGAGGATAATTGCTTCACTAACTCAGCGAAAAAGCAGATGGCGGGCAATGAAGCTATCCAGTCATGCTTTGCGATCGTTTGTACGAAGATTTCCGAATGACGATCGGACTTTTACGGCATTTCTCAGGCTTTCTTCTTTAATTTTTATATAGCGCGATATTTAAAATGGGAAGAAGGAAAAACTTATTTCATTTCTCAACTATGTAGCCTTTAATTTTCTTTTAAAAAATACATGTTTGTCATAACTAAGAAAAAAGCAAAACATTCTCAAAATTTCGTAGGACAGAAAAAACCGAACCCTAGGACCCTCTTGCAGACTCGGGTAATCGGCACCACGCCTGCATCAGGGGCTGCACCTCGCCAAAATGATGGAGGCTTCGGAAGCGTCCATCGATTTGGCCTCATTGTTGAGGGCAAATAAAGTCGAGGCGCTTCATACTACTGCCCTCTGTGGTCTTGTTAGATTTCTTGTATGGACTAGACTTTCTGAAGAAGGTTCCTCCTGGATTATTAAGTAAGTCTTTCCTTTTTCCAATATTCTTGCCATACTTCTTATATAAATATCTGTTGTTGGGACGTCCCATTATAAAATTAATCCGACACCTTTCTGTGGATAAGCAGATTCCTACCCATCAAGAATGGGTAAATAGCCGATTCCTTCAAGTTTATCGTGGAAAAATAACCGATTCCTATTAGTCGAGAGTGGGAAAACAAGTCTACCTCGCCACTTGAACGCTTTAAAGAATGACAGGGCGTGGATGGCTGAAACTGAAGACCTGCAGTTTAATAGTTCGTGGATTGTTACAGACTCTTAGCGGATGTTAAGCTTAAATTTGGCACGAACAAAATATTTTTCTAAGCGATAACCTTTATTAGGTTAAATGCGAGATTTCGATCGTTGCCATGGCAACGTGGTTGACTGGAAACAATAATATTTTGAATTTATGAGGTTTGCACAAAATTTAGGCAATAGATTTGCTTAAGAAATTGCAAACAGCTAACAATTGATAACCCTCATTTAAAAAAAAAACAACAACTTAACTTGAAACTTGTGGTCTTGGTAGGTCTATGATATATGTGAGTTAAGTTTGTTCTTCTCTCACTTGGATATGTTTTTCTGTGGGTACTCCAGTCTACCCGTCTCCTAAAAAACCAAAACTTCCAAATTCCATTGATCTGGGGTGTTTCCATTTAGGAAAAAAACCCGGAAATTTCGGTGGTAGCAAAAGTGGAATTTCCGATTGGTAAAAAGTTGTTCCATTTGGTCGTAAACCCCGGTACGTGGCGGTGCCCGACGGTGGACCTGGAACTAGTACAAACTACGAGAAACGTAAATGAAACACGACATTCCGTTCGGAAATTCCAACTGGGAAAACGGGACCACCTTTTTAGATTTTCACTTTTTCTGGGAATTTTCCAGTGGGACGAACCGACGAAACGTGTTCCATTTACCGTCTAACCGGAAATTCCGGAAATTTTGACTAAATGGAAAGCGTCCCAGGAAAGTACGGCCACATTTCTACAAGTTCTTAAGAACTCCTAAGAGCTTCAGGGGTAAACAAATTTTTAAAAAATACTATTGAACTCTCCCATGCACATTTTTTTGTGTGTGTTTCTGGTTCATGCTTGTTTCTCATCTCTTTGGAGTGTTCTGCTTTAGGAAGAACCATACATTACAACGAAACCCTCAGACATACAGGGCCACCCCTTGTAAATTTTGTGAGCTTTTCCTAGACGATTAAATAACTGCAGCTGACATTTGAACAACAGCTGTTCATTTATCCCTTGGGCATATTTTGAGACAAGTTTAGTGATGATCAGTTACTATGGTTACAAAATATGGATGAAGCATTGAGCAGCATGTAAAACAAGGTGTTTAAATGCCTTGTACATTTGCATGGGGAAATGTAAAGTGCTTTTGTTTTGTTTTGACTTTTAGTGCATCTGATGGAGTTGATGTGTGGCACTTACAACTGGACAAAGCACAACTCGATTTCCATGTAAGATAACTCTGAATAATAAAACTGGTTTTGTACATACAGTCAAACTTTTTTATGGCCACTTCCTAAAAATTTTCCAGTCAAAACCTTTTAATATTAGAATCACTTGTAAATGACCACTTTTTGTTGTGTCTGTGAAATTGCCTTAAAGGCTAAAACTAAGATAATCTTAAAAATAAACAGGATCACTTATTACATGACTGAATCCCCTAGCAGGCAAGATGAAGTGAATACTCCGCATTCTGTTTCTTGGCTACCCAAGAACGCAAGCCACCTCAGGGATTTCTTGAGTTGTTCCTGCAAGAAAAAGTTCACTTTTTAGCTATATGATAAATCCTTAATTGATCAATTATAAGCTTGTTCAGTCATGGCTGAATATTCTTTTTTGCGTTTTTTTATGGCAATTGTATGTTCGACAGGGACCGCACAGAGGGAGGGGCTGGGGGGGGCTTTAGCCCCCCCCACTTTTTTGCAAGAATAAAAATAAATTAAACAAAAAATAATTTAACAAAAGTAACGGAGTGAAAGATAGCAAAAAATCGTTAATTCGAAAGTGACCAGAGTTACTGGCAAAGACAAACGCACAGATAAATAGACAGAATGAAGCATTAGTCATTACAATTGTAAAATATTTTTTCGCTTCTAACCTAGCAGAGGTAAACGTCTTTTAAATGGCTTCTTTTTCCTGCGGACCTCTCAGGAAAACGCGTTGTTTCGTAATTGGTCAATTTTGATCCAAAGTAATAACTGGGTTTAGTTTATAAGGCCATTCTCAAACAAATTGTTTATTAGTTTCAACCTTGATTTTTGGAAGATCATGAAGTTATTGTTTCTCTTGTTATTGTGCGTCCTGATTTTAGCTCGATCACCGCGAAGTCCGTCTTTTGATGTCAGGCTTCACGGCTCGTTGAGCATTCCAATTGCAAGTTTTGTTGAACTTGGTCTGTTTATAAAAACATTTTGTCATCGAAAGTACTTAAACCGCAGAATTGTGTATAGCTCCGGTCATCAAGGAACATTCAATCCGGCGGTTATTATGAACAAAGAAGTGCACATGGTACACGGCAACATAAATACGAACGACGAGACTTCACATACCACTAGTAATGCAAAGAAGAGATCTCTTAAAATTTCTGATTACTTTTCCAAACAAAATGGAAAACCTCCTTTATCTGGTGAGTAAGCTCTGCGTAATTTTTGCTACTTTTTTCTGAATCTGTTCTATAATTGAATTTTCATTCACTAAATTATTTTCAGTTACTGTTTTGTTTTGCCGTGTAAATATTTTGAATGAATAATTAAACAATTATTGAACTCGGCTTTCGTATGATATGAAGATATACAGATCTCGGAGGGTGTTATCCACCGGGCTCAAGCCTTCGGCTTTGGCGGATAACCCCCTCGATCTGCATAACTCTTCATATCGTACTCAGCCTCGTGCAATAATTGCTCAGTAATTATACAGCCTTGAGTTCAAGGCAGCTCAAGCAAAATCGTTGGATTTCTGGCTTATTTATAGTAATTAAAGGTTGATATCAGTAGTACAACATAACAATCTACGATATTTCAATTTAGTGATGGTGAATTTTCAGACCCGATTGCAACATCACTGAAGATGTGGAAAAAATCAATAGTTTTATCGTTATTCGCATTCTCCGTCACTTTAGAGAAATTGAATAGAAATCCACAAGCATACCCCCCCCCCCCAAATAAAAAAAAAATTTTTCCTTCACGCATTCTTCTTTAGCCCCCCCACTCGAAAACTTGCTGCGCGGTCCCTGTTCGAAGAGAAATTGAAAACAATGCTTCTGCAAATTTTTGGAGGAAAACAAAGAGTTTTTGAGAAAAGCTTATTGTATGCATAGAATATGTGCTTTTATCAAATCTTGCAGAGAGAACTGGCTGCAGTTGATGGATATGACGCTTACTTTACAAGATTCAGGTGAGCATGACATAAAACCATGCAACTCA